ACTGACTTGCAGAGCTACGTACAAAAAGATTCCTGAGGGTTTTGTAATGGGCTTCATCATTTATATCACCCAGTTCAGCAGTATCTGGTATTTACTTCCTCTTCCCCCTTCCCCACCCCTCAACCACCTGGGCTTTCCACTGCCTCCATAAGGTTCTGTCTAATGGCCCTATCCTTATGTTGTTCTGGGAACTTTTTTTTTGCCTGCCCTGCCATGGTAAGGTTTTGTATAGACCTTTGGTATTGTTTTGCTGGGTTATTTTCCCCCCAGCTTTAGGCCCCTTTCTACTTGGGACCTCAGTATAGTATTAGCAGGATTGATAGGTTGCCCTCTTGGCGACCTGCTCTCTACCGTGCATCTCTGAAGACAGCCCACAGATGTGCGAGTTCTGTATGAATTAGGCTATTCGTTGCCCTAATTTCTTGCCAAAGCCTTGCTTGGATTTTTGAGAAGCAGGGAATTTTCGCACAGTTGATGTTATAAGGGAACTTCCTTTTTAAGTTAGCTGAACAAAATCACCCAGAAACACACAGATTATTCATCATCTTCACTCTTCGTTAAGGGACAAGCTCTCTTGTCGTGGGAGGCAGGCTTATCTCTAGCTGCATAAGGATGTGTTAAGAGTCGGCCAGGTTTGATCCACCTACCCATGTTTGAGCTCAAGCAGCATCTGCTACCTGTTTGAGGGATGTCCCCACCTCTGAAGTTTGGAGGGCAGGAATAGGGGTATTTTAGCTCCCACCTTTCAGAAATTTCCAGGTCAGGTGCCTGTTTTGGTAGGGCTGTTTTGTTGATGTTCTATCCCATCTCTAGGAAAATAGACAAGTGCTTGTCAACTTCTGAAAGCTGAATCCATTTGGAAGAGAAACCAGTTAATTACCCTGCTGTAATTGTACGTGTGTTTTTTGATGTGTGTTGTCTGCATGGATCCTGTAACTTGCAACCTCACTCCTGCAGAACCCTGCTCATCTCGGATTTTGTACTGGCAAAAGAGCTGAAAGGTGATTAGATGCCTTCAGCCCATTTATACCTTTGGGCTGGGAGGGGGTTGAGGACATCTGGTGTGCGAGAGTAGCCCTAAGGGATACTGTAGGCCAAAAGAATCCAATAATGCATGCCCAGGCACCAAGAGTGGAATCTATATGAATAAATCCTCAAGAACCGTGGTTATTGGAAGGCAGGCATCCAGTGGTCCCAGTCCCTGTATTCTTCCTGAAAGACGCTGAAATATAGCATCTACTCTGTCCCCTCTCGGAGTAAATTGCTCCCATTCTTACCATCCATTTGGACATCTTTACTGTTCTTATCCCACTGCCCTAAATGTCTCCACCGTGTGTACCAATGTGAATCTACAAGCAGTTTTTCTTCTTATGTGAAATGGCATTCCCAGACAAGATGGTGTATTACTTCAGTAATACAGATCTAATGGGATGTTGTTTATGTGACTTATCACCTGTTTCCTATAGCACTATGATGTAGACTTGCATATTGATTAAGATTGGATAGGAAGACCCTTTAGTTGAATGTTCCCCATGGTCATTTCTAACAACATGGAAAAGAAAGCATAGAAAAGGAAGTCCTGTAAAATGTTTTTGTTCCATTATGTATACTAATGTAACTATAAGTCTTACGTTATGAACTTCTCAAGTGAGATGTAACCCCTATGGGATCCATTTCAGGTTATGGAGCACAAGCTGAAAGAAGCGGAGGAGATGCATATAATGCTGCAGTTGGAGTGTGAGAAGTATAAAGCAGTCCTGGCTGAGACGGTAGGGAACTTTGTCACTCCATCCAGTGATACTGCAGACTGTTTGTCTTCTGTTTTCCTACAGTTAGCAAAATAACTAAAATTCTTGTATTAGGAGGGGATCTTACAAAGGCTACAAAGGAGTGTGGAAGAGGAAGAGAGCAAATGGAAAGTAAAAATTGAAGATTTGCAGAAGGAACTTAGACAGGTATTTCTAAAGAGCTCTCTTGGGACTCTTTCATTTCTTTTGGAAATAGAGGGTCCTGGGTTTTGTCGGGGGGAGGTTTGTTTTTGGGTTGGGTTTTTTTGCTGCTTAGACTAATGCTAGAATATTTTTCAGCCTTTCTTTGTTAGGGAACTGCATAGACATTGCTGGGGTGTGAAGTTAAGCCAATCGATGTTCAATGTAATATCAGGTATCTTTACTGTAACATCAAGAACTTTAAATTTAAGCATTGTAACACCTACTATAGTAATTCATTTTTTGAAGGGAGACTTCTTCTAAACTAAGACATTAGAGGGAATCTTAAGTATCCTTTGATTTCAGGCAGTTTTACTTCTACCACAGTGAGAAAATATTTTTATTGTTGGCTTTTACTCCAAAGCATAGCTGTAACATAGCAGCATCCTTCTAACTACCTTTCAGATGCAGGTATTTCTGGAGAGGCAATTAGTGTATCATGCTACATAGGAACTAGGAAAGAAATTGAGGAGTCTGTTTGACAAAGTCCAGTGTCAAATATACATACAGGAATTCTTCTGACCTAGTAAAGCTGATTTTGACTTTGGACAAACGTAAGATTGAAGGAAGTATAGATGGTCAATTTGGATAGCTACAAGTGTGTATAGAGCAGAGGTTCTATGTTTAGATTTAGCTACAGTAGATTCTCCACTTACATTTTTAACTTCTTCAAAAGGTACTTAAAAATCCATTATGTGAACTATAATTACTGTTGAAATTGCCTACAAGCCACTTTTTAAAATGTTATTTAAAGAAGAGGATCTGTTGATAGCAAAGCAGCAGGAAAAAAGCCTTTAGTCATTATACATTTCCTTCCCTGCCTCAGAATCAAAATAGGTCAAACTAATTTTTCAAAAGAAAGTCTTTCTAAACTACTTTTAGTCGGAGAATTTGTTTGCCTGGGTATTGGCCTGAAGCAAGTGTGTATAGCTGAATTATAAACCTCTTGTTTGAGAGGCTTATAAGAGGCTGGCAGATCTTTAACTATAGATGCTCTACCATCTGTTGCAGTAATAGTCTTTTAATATGGCTAAATCCAGAAGATTTAGCTATTTATAGTTAATCAATGGAGACTGTCTTCCTTATTCAACAAATATGAAGGGCAATTGCTTTAGTATGAAAACCAGAGAACTGCCTTAGGGCTTGCCTAATGATTGTTTATCTGGGACCTAAATATCTCTGGCAAAGAATTCTTCACGTTGTGAAGGGGAGGCAAATGCATGTTTTTTGGAGAAGACCCTTCATACATCCAGAGCTTGGACTGCTGTACAAAATGTGCTCTTTATGAAGAGTTTCATTTCAAACTGAATTACTGTGGCGTCTTTGATAACCCAAAATTATGTATTCATCTCTGTTGGAAACTGCAGATGCGTCCTCTGGAGCACGAGGTAGAGAGATTAAAGGAAGAAATCAAAGAAGTTGAACATGTACGTTCAAATATTTCATCTCTTTTGAAGCTTTCCTGCTTGAGACGTTAAATGCGAAACCTTCGGAAACTTCCTCATGAATGGAACAGTTTTGTATTGTGGATTAAATGGTGAAACCTGTTGGTCAACATTGGCTAGAGTAGACACATACATCAAGGCTTTTAGGACTAAATTTAAGCTTCTAGATGAGTGGCCTAATTTCCAGAAGTATTGAGCGTCTGCTCAAGTTGGTGAAACACTGTGAATTTGGCATTATTGAAACTCAACAACCTAGCTCAGGGATTGGCAACCTATGGTTCATTGGGTCATTGGGAGGGTTGGGGGTAGTGGCTGGGTGGTGGGGAGAAGTAGCAGTGGCAGCCAGGTCCTAGTGCCAGGTAACCTCAGACCTAAGCTGGGTCATTGTGGCCCACCACTGGAAAATGTTGCAACCACTGACCTAATTAAGTTTCTACATCTCATCTTAAGATCTGAACTTTTGTGTATCTGTGTTTTGGGAATTTTTACTCTTGTATTCAGAGATCAACTTAATCTTAAGTAAAGCAGAGCTACCGTAGCTGTCCTGTGCATCTGCAAGATCTGAGAATTTTATAGGAGTGACTTTGTTTAGTGGTTAACTTAAGTAGCTTCCTTTCATTGGTATTTTCTGATGTTTAATACCTGTTTTCCTATTTCTAGCTTAAAAGAGAGAGAGAACATTTGGAAAGTGAACTAGAAAAGGCAGAAATAGAACGATCTACATATGTTTCAGAAGTCAGAGAGGTAAACCACTGACACAGCTGTCCTTTTTGCTTTATTTTGGTAATGAATCAGTTGGCAAATGATTAAACTTTTTGCTGGAGTTGAGTTTTTATATGCTTGTGGCTTTAGGGTAGCTGAACACTCTAATAACTGAACAGAAGAAAAAGGGGCATTATAAGGAGACAAATCCTAAAAAATCTAAACTTCATTTCAGCTCAAAGATCTGTTGACTGAATTGCAGAAAAAACTTGATGATTCATATTCTGAAGCAGTAAGACAGAATGAAGAGTTAAATTTGGTAAGAAGCTTTTCTCCACTGGGCACAAACCAGGCTCCAAATATACCTGTTAAGTGGAGACTTCATTCCAAATCCTGTCTGTTCTGCTAACTTCTTCAGCTTGGTATTTTTGTCCATTGCAGTCATTTATGTAGTCTGACTTTTACAATTTGTGTGTCTGCTCCTAATGCTAGCATGCCTGGTTCTTAAGACTCCTTTTTTTTTTCTAAAGGCCTTAAGACTTCCATACTTTAAACTTTTTAAGAATCGGTGTTTCACTAATGCAGGCAAATGTAGCTGCAAGTGTAGTGTTGTTAGCTCGAATGGAACACCTTTTGGCCAATTCAGTTTGGGGACCGTGCTCTGGGAGATGTGGAACGCAACCACCATTCACACTCACAGAATAAAAGCAGAGAGCACCCTCCATTATTTTAGTGTAAGAGTACACAGAAGAGAATGATATGCAAGCATTAATTAGATTTTCTCGTGCCCATCCACTAGTACTGCTCTGAAATTTAGCTGGGGAGCCATTCTGTGTAGTGGCATACAGACCAGCAGCAAATTTGTATTTTGGTTCAAAACCCCATCCAATAACTAATACTGACTCTTACCAGAGTCGCATCAACCCAGACCAGACCTGTAGCTTCATAGGATTTGTCTTCCAGTGAGAAGATTAATTCATTTTAAATACCCATTTACTTCACAGGATGATGGGTATTTAAGCTCTGGGAATAACTGAAGCTTTCGTATACCTGCGCATGAACAAAGCAGGCCTCCTTCATGCTTTCCAAGCCAGAGTCATGGAGAGCTTTCCTTACTCCCACTCTTCATATAGTGTAGCCAGGAGACATACCTAACACTAACTGCATGAAGCTGGACCATAATAACACGCTGAGCAGTCCTAACCAGGTGCATCTACTATATTATTCTGTAGCTTGAACCTGCTCCAATGAACACTGTTTGGTTAAAGTGACCAAGCCTACTTGAGATTAGTAGTTCAGATGACTGTTTTAAAGCAAAGGAGCAATCTGATTCCCATGTCAACCTTCCAGGATTTACCTGATATTATGGACATCATATTGAACGTGCTCTGGGTTAGGTTTGCATTATGTTAGTTGGACACTCCTTCAGACCCTCCTTAGCAAGAACCACGTCATCTGCATCCACCTCCCTTGAAACTGGAGGCGTGTTGAAAATGTGTCTGTTTCCTTCAAACATTAGACACATTGTATGTCTTAAGAGTTACCACTTGCTCTGAGAAAAACATAGGTTGTTATGACAGAAACTACCAAAGCTGCTCCTATAACTCCTTGTAAGTATTTGTGGCCACGTCTAACCTTCAGTCTGTAGCTTCAGCAGTTACAAATCCCAGCTCTTATCTAGACAACCCAGCTCCTGCAGTCAGGTGGTGTCACACTGGTTGAAGCTTACATGTGGTTTTTATCACTTTGCTCTCCCCACTTCTTTTTTATGTGATGAGGTGGCGAACTCACTACTTCCTTATGTGTTTGGAAATAATCTACAAGTTTACAACAGGCAGGAGATTCGGCGGAAGAGAAAGTGGTAAAATCTCAAAATATGACGTACCATAATTCATAAAGTATATAAAGGAGAAAGAAGATAAAACTTCATAGCATCCCTCAGACCAACATTACGTCTCTAATGAGCAGAAAGAAATCAGTTTAATTCAGGTGCTGCAACAGGCAACCTTTATAAATTCAAGTGATTTGAGAGCAATACAATATGGAGGAATGGATTTAGCATGAACTGTGCACATGGAGAAGTCCTGTTGTTCTTTTTAATCACCCGTGGGTTCCCAAAAATACTGATAGCAAAAATAATGAACAGCGTGGTGCACTGAGCAGCCACACTTAAGACTTCTAGCTAATTTGCCCATGTTGATAATCATTCCATTTGTGCTGCAGAAGTTCTTTGCTATTGCTGGCATATCAACAATAGAAACACTTAAAGTTATTATGATTGACTTTAGTGAGTGTATTTTGGGGCAATCCAGCACAAAGAAATCCTTCTAGACTGGAATACCTGTTTTCCAAATGATGCTGTCTAAAGACAACAAATAGTTTAAAGGCTTCTTGGTAGCGATTCAACTCTTGAACATGATGTTAACAAACTGCTTCCAGCTTCTGCTTTGCTAAAATGCCAAAAGCCAGTCTGAATTGTATCAAACAGGACATTTCAGTAGAGAAGTCAGTGGTTTGTTCTGGCCTAGGGATGTGATGGCAATATAAACTCTGAGAATTTGCTGTGCATCAAGTCCATCATCAACCTTTTTTTGTGAACAGTGCAATAGGAATACACGCAGAAAGCTTTATATAAAGTCGATGTTCATTTTCTTCCTGGCAGTGCAGTTCCAAGTTGAAACCATTTGCAGTTGCCATGCTGGCTCTAGCCTCTGTCTCTATATCTTTCATTCCTTGCTTTTAACTTTATCGATCAAAGCTCTTCTTTTGATCTTTCCTTGTAAATCTCCTAACACATGTTAACTAATCCACTGTGAACAATAGTTTAGTTCTCTTACTCCTTCTCATGTGATTGGTGGTATGCTGGGTTATTCTCAAGAGAGGTGCATGTCAAATTGAAAATTATCTTTCTGTTTTCCTTATTATCTTACAGCTGAAAACACAGTTAAGTGAAACACTATCAAAACTTAAAATTGATCAAAATGAGAGGCAGAAGTTGGCTGGTGACCTGCCCAAGGTAAGTGAAGCTTGTAGGCTGGTTATAGATTCAAATACTATAAAATGTTGATGTAGCCAGATAGTGAGATCTGGAGGTTTGTTGGGCTGAGAGGCAGGCTATAAAACTCTGATCTGACTACAGAGCAGGAGCATAGTCTCCTAAGTCCTAGTGCAGCCTACCGGTCAGTGATATTGGATATAGCCATGAACATTGGACACATGAACAGAGTCCCTTTAATTGGGAATAGAATGGGCTGAGACAGAAGCCAACAAACCAACTTCTCTTCAGTGGTTGCTCTTAAAATCATGTGCCTCATTCATCAGAGTTCATGCGTAAGAAGCAAATGGTAATTATAGGCCCATATATTGCTTTTTTTAATGAAAGAATAATGTAGTATTTGGCATATAGGTTCAGGTTTGTAGCAATGCACATTAAATAACTACTAACAGTATCCACCAATACTGTGAGGGCAGTATGCAAACACCCTGTACTTTGCTGGAAGAACCTTGATAAAGTGACCTGAGAAATGGGTGCATGACATCAGTCATTCCTCACCAGCAGTTATTGCAGCATTTTTTTGAGCAGAGATAACATAAGGTGCAAGAGGACCTGGGGCTAAGAGCTGATTTATAAATTGACCTCACCAGAAGGGGCTGGTGCTTATGTATGAGAGAGCTTGCTGAGGATATCTGGATAGGAGGAAGCCTAGGGTAGCTCTCTGTCAGTTAGTCTGCAGGGTGCACCACTGCCTTGCCAGCTACCCAAACGTGAAGCAGGCCAGCTGATTGCTGTTACGTCATGTTGGCTTGTAACTGCTCTGCCCAGGTTGTTGCACAGGCCTGGGAATAAAGGAGCATCACATCAGCAAGACTCTTGACACCCCATTCTGCTGGGAATGAAAAGTAGTGCTGAGATTGGCTGTCTGCCTTTGTGCAGCTTGGGAAGCTGCAACTTCCACGCTCTTCTTTGCTGCTGGAGCAGCGCAGAAGCCTAGGCACGTTCATGCTGGGCAGAGTCTGGCCCTAATTTCCCACGTTCACAGGGATATAACAGACTCCTCTTTTCTGAGTCCAGCATGTGAAACCCTGGGAAGGTATCTATCACGTTCTACATGTGGCCCTAATCTTCTGATAAGAGCACTTCCTTTAGGGCACTTTTAACATTGTTCACAAGACCTTCTGGGCTTTCTGCTTGCCAAACATGGAACAGAAAGACTGACCCTGACCCAAAGAATATAGCAATCAAAGTGTAAGACCAGACGAACTGGGTATGGACAGACTTGGGTGGAGGTACAGTTTGAATGTAAGACAGTGTTGGTCTACAGGAGGGGCATGTTGTCTTGGTGCTCCAATAGCCTACCTGTCGTTAAAGGCTTTTAGGCATTGTAGCAAAGTGTGGTGTAGGAACAATCAAGTGACTTTGGGGATATTTATAGAGAGCTCCTTTTAGTATAAGGGGCAGGTTGTAGGGATGGAGATGGGAGCCAACATCAGTAGTGAATGAGGTGATTGTGGGGGAGTTGACCATGGAGAGTTGAGGAAGTGAAGGTCAAGTAGCGCATGTGTGTAGCAGAGGTGGAGGAACTAGCAGTGAGATGGCATGGTCCAAGCAGTGGGCAAGAAGATTTACCTGGGCAGCACCCTTCTGAATGGATGTTGCTGGGGCAAGACTGGAGAAATGGATTTTGAGGCCACAGGGAAGGATATTGCAGTAAACAGAGGTGCACTGATGAGACCAGACATGATGTTTAGCTGTGTGGATGGATAGAAAAAGCCAACCTTGGAGGTGCCATGCTGTGCAGAACGAATCTTAGTTCTGGCTTAGTTAGACCAAGCCTATGAGTGAGGATCAAGAGGAGAGGCCTGAGGCAAAGATGACATCCAAGTTATGGGCCTAGGTGAAGATATGATGGTGGTAGAGGAAGGACTTGTACAGTGTTTTTTGTTTGTTGGAGAAAGTATCACTGTGGCATGTGGAGGGGTTGGAAAAATGTGTGTCTTGTAGGAAGAAGGAGTTAGCAAGACCCTGGGAGGGATGGAGGGGTGGAAAGGAGGATTTTGAGTAACTGATGGTAAAACAGTGTCTGGAATTGCACATCTGGTATTCAGCTTGGTTGGAGAAGCAGAACTGCCAGCTAGCACAACAGCAGAAAGGAGGGTTTCAGAGTGAAGCACGTGTCCCTGATCATGGGATTTCTGTTAGAGATGAGGGAGAGCAGGAGCTGAGGCAGTAGCTGCAGGCATGAGCCAGGGCTGGGGCCTGTGGCAGGACAGACCCGAGGCTGAGCAGGTCAAATGCCTGCAGGAGCCTTGTTCTCCAGGGGCAGGGGGATGAACGTAGGGTCACTGCAGTTGCATTTAGTTAATTTATTTTTTCTGGAACGCGATGGCAGAGCATACGATGGCTAATTAAGAGTGATATACAGAATGCGTGCTTGAATAGCACATCAGCACCAGTAAAGCTGTGCCATCCTATCTGGATGTACCGTGTTGACAGCTGACACGTGAACTGGCTCTCAGCTGCTTGTCAGAGTTGCTCTTTCACATAAAAATCCGTGCTGTCGAATTTTTACCTAATATATTGACAAAAGACTATTAAAATCTCCCCCTAGAATAGCTTTCAACTACTGGCTGTCTGATGTAGCAAGTGCCAGCGTGTGAGAAGACCTGTCAATCTTAACAAAAGTGTTAGTCCCCTGAGTGAATCTGGCATAACACAGTTTTCCTCCTGAAGACTCATTTCCTGTGTGCCGTGCACTTGCGGATAGACAGGTGGTTTGTTTTTCAGCCTTTGTTAATTGCTGCCTCCTCCATTTCCCTCGCTTTCCCCCCTGCAGGCCCAGGAGTCGCTGGCATCTCTTGAGAGAGAATTCGGAAAAGCTGCAGGGGACGCCAACGTTATTGAGAACAGCGATGTTTGCTCTGAGCCAGTGAGTGTTTTCTTGGAGCCCCTCTCCAGGGGCAGTGCGAATCTTGTGCAGAGTGTGGGCTGAGCTTGTTACTTGGAGGTAAAGAAACAAAAATATTTCACTGCCACTGAAACCAGGCCAGGAGATTTTTCCAACAGAGAAGAAAAAACCCAGAAATGCCTCATCCTTGAATTGTCCAGAGGGGACTTTGACAGCTCTGATCTGCCTTTCTCAGTGGACTTAAAATTGGTTTGACCTTTCGGTTGTGGGCAGGAGGGGGAGAGCTTTAATACACTTCTTCCCTTGAAGGGGGTCACTAAAAACATTAGTTATGATTAAACAAGCATAAAATATTAGGCGTTTAGCTGGTACTCGCTGAAGTGCCTAATTGCAGTGGAAGATTGTCGCCTTCTCCTATCTCGATTGCAGTGCATATGCTTACCTTTACAGTCAGGGCCTCCTTAATCTGTGCAACTTTCAGCGAGAAGCATTGCCACCATTTAGACAAGAGAAAAGTGCCTTAGTTCTGTTTAAAATGCTGATGCCCCACAGGGAGCATAGTGACCCTGATGTGGGCCAGAAGCAGAATCTCATTCATTTGCATTTCAGTCAGTGGCAAACCTAAGAATCGCTTGGAGCTGCGGGTTGACAGCTTTCCTGGGTGTAGGGTTTTTGAGATCCAGCTCTTCATGATAGCTGTATGTTGGAAGGTTACAGCTCTGGTATTTCTGCAGCTATAGAGTATGGAACTGGATGGACTCTTTTGAACTGTGACTTTAAGGTTGGCCCAATTTTTTTTTAATAACTTGGGTGCCAGCCATAAACCACAGGTAGCAAACTTAATGTCTGGAAATCCCAATTGGCATGCCCAGCTCTGGTACTTGTGCCCCACAGGCCTCACAGATCATGACATCTGTTTGATGAACAGTTAAGATACGGAGTCATCTGCTAGAACTTGCCGATCTTTGGAGAGCGTCATTTCCATGCAAGTGAGGCAGCTGTTTCTTGAAAGCAGGCATCCTGTTAGGAGGCATTTGTTCCAGCCTTCCAGTGCTCAGCAGTGAAGTGGTGTCAGTGGGAACCTTGTTGTCCCAAGACCTGATTCTCCCCCCCCCCCGGACTAAAGGGTAGAAGAAATCCAGTACTCACAAGTGGAGATCGCAATGGCTAGCAAACCAAGTCCTTTCTATTTGCAACAGCAAAAAGGAGTTGGTAAAAGTGCTTTGTAAACCAAAAGGACCAGAGTCCCTGAAGGGAGTAGCGTAGAAGAAGCTTTGTTTTGCAGCTATTAGGAGAAATGAAGTGGCTTGTCTACAGAGCAGTAGATTTTGAACACTGGCTGAATGTTGCATTGTAAGCTGTATCCTCC